CGTGCGGACTGCCGGCCTGTCGCCCTGTGCTGCTACCTCTGATTAAGAGGCAGCAGTGCTGGGTGGCAGAAGCCCCTGTTCAGGTGGGATCTGAGCTCCCAGACCTGGCGCAAGCTGCAGAGCCGGGCTGCCTGCCCACTTAGCTCCTCATACACTTTAAATGCAGAGCTGTAGCTGGGGTAGGTCCCAGACCCTGCACAAGCCAGAACTGACCCAGGCTGCTGGCCACTCTGCCAAAAAAATTAACTGGCAGGGGGAAGGAGGGAAATCCATGTAGTCTATAGCATTAACCTATAAGCTTTTGCTTATCAGTTAATCAGTTAGCCAACTATACTATTACATCCCTACTTCTAGGTAGGTCATGTTTTTGAACAAGCTAAATAGGGATTAGCTTCAAGTTAGAATGTCTTGACACAGCTACGTTTGTTTCCTTTAACTTTGTTAATACATTAACTTAGCGGTTATAAAAAGGTTACATCTCCACTGGCATGATTTTGCCCAAGAACTCTTTTGTGGAAGAGTTCTTGTGCAAAAACTCTTCCAGAAGAGAGCATCTACACTGGCATGTGCCTTTGCCCAAGAGATGTGCTTTTGCGCAAGAGCATCTGTGCCAGTGTAGACGCTCTCTTGCGCAAGAAAGCTCCGATGGCCATTTTTTAACCATGGGGCTTTCTTGTGCAAGAAATTCATGTTGCCTGTCTATACTGGCCTCTTGCGCAAGAACAGTTGCGCAAGAGGGCTTATTCCTGAGCAGGAGCATCAGAGTTCTTACGCAAGAAGCCCTGATTTCATACATTAGAACGTCAGTGTACTTGCGCAAGAACTCGCGGCCAGTGTAGACAGGCAGCAAGTTTTGACACAAAACTGGTTGCTTTTGCGCAAGATCGCACCAATGTAGACATAGCCTTTGTGCAGATGTAAGCAGAGTCAGGATGAGCTCTACCCTGACATCTGGTGGCGAGTGGGGCGAAAAGACTTCAGAGGCTGATCTTGTTTGCATAGGCACACCCACCCCGCTTAGTATGAGCTCACAGCAGCCCAAATGGTCACTTTGGCCACTGTGGGATCCCTAGTCTCTCTGGGTATGTCTACACTACCACCCTAGTTCGAACTAGGGTGGTAGTGTAGACATACCCAGAGAGACTAGGGATCCCACAGTGGCCAAAGTGACCATTTGGGCTGCTGTGAGCTCATACTAAGCGGGGTGGGTGTGCCTATGCAAACAAGATCAGCCTCTGAAGTCTTTTCGCCCCACTCGCCACCAGATGTCAGGGTAGAGCTCATCCTGACTCTGCTTACATCTGCACAAAGGCTATGTCTACATTGGTGCGATCTTGCGCAAAAGCAACCAGTTTTGTGTCAAAACTTGCTGCCTGTCTACACTGGCCGGGAGTTCTTGCGCAAGTACACTGACGTTCTAATGTATGAAATCAGGGCTTCTTGCGTAAGAACTCTGATGCTCCTGCTCAGGAATAAGCCCTCTTGCGCAACTGTTCTTGCGCAAGAGGCCAGTATAGACAGGCAACATGAATTTCTTGCACAAGAAAGCCCCATGGTTAAAAAATGGCCATCGGAGCTTTCTTGCGCAAGAGAGCGTCTACACTGGCACAGATGCTCTTGCGCAAAAGCACATCTCTTGGGCAAAGGCACATGCCAGTGTAGATGCTCTCTTCTGGAAGAGTTTTTGCACAAGAACTCTTCCACAAAAGAGTTCTTGGGCAAAATCATGCCAGTGGAGATGTAACCTTTTTATAACCGCTAAGTTAATGTATTAACAAAGTTAAAGGAAACAAACGTAGCTGTGTCAAGACATTCTAACTTGAAGCTAATCCCTATTTAGCTTGTTCAAAAACATGACCTACCTAGAAGTAGGGATGTAATAGTATAGTTGGCTAACTGATTAACTGATAAGCAAAAGCTTATAGGTTAATGCTATAGACTACATGGATTTCCCTCCTTCCCCCTGCCAGTTAATTTTTTTGGCAGAGTGGCCAGCAGCCTGGGTCAGTTCTGGCTTGTGCAGGGTCTGGGACCTACCCCAGCTACAGCTCTGCATTTAAAGTGTATGAGGAGCTAAGTGGGCAGGCAGCCCGGCTCTGCAGCTTGCGCCAGGTCTGGGAGCTCAGATCCCACCTGAACAGGGGCTTCTGCCACCCAGCACTGCTGCCTCTTAATCAGAGGTAGCAGCACAGGGCGACAGGCAGCCAGTCTGCAAGGGGAGCTGGTTTTTAAACTGGCTTCCCTTGCAGACCAGCTCCCGCCTGGCAGGCCACGCTGCTGCCTCTGAGACAGTGGCAGGGGGCTCCTTGGGAGTGAGGCCGGAGCACACTAGCTGCTGGCCCTGCCCCCAGGGACTATAGAATAGCCAACTAACCGATATTTAACATCCCTAATTAGAAGCCATCTCAGAGTCAGGGTGTGTGTCCACATTCTCTGATGGAAGAAAAACAATTCTCTGCATCAGTTAAGGTGTCTGTTCCCCTCTCACCCTGATCTCCAAGAAACCTCACTAACAAATGATTTCATTTCCAAAAGAGCTTTTTCTATCCATTAATTTTAATTTCATAGGTCAGATCCTTAGCTGGTGTCAGTGACTTCTGTGGTGCTGAGGATATGGAGCCACATTTGTTATAACGTTGATTTGAACCTAAATATAGTATACCTAGGACATGCGGGAATATAAATACAATGTGTATATAATGTGTATTGGGCATTCATGTTTAGTAAGGGTACTGCATATATTGAATTTGCTTTGAGAGTTGTTGAGGTTCCAACTTGCATTAAGAGCAGACAGGCAAGTTTGAGCTTTTACTGGGTTTTTGCTTATATTCATCCAACCCTAACTTGGAAGCTTGCATGGAACACAGGAAACACAAGGTTTTCAGATACCTAGAGTTGTCTAACAATTTCACACATCACCCTAAAAGGTAGGTGTTGTATATCTGAAAGTAACTTCTCCAAATTTTGTAACTGAGTTAGTTACCCAAAGCACATTTAAAACATATTTCCCTTCTATATCTCTTGTGAACCTCTCATTGAAAGACTAATTATCTTAAAGTTACATATACATCTTCCTCATTTAAGCTGCTCAATGTTCCTTAAGAGCTTCTGAAAGTCCAGGTGCAGCTGCATTTCTCGTAAATGAGGTAGTATAAATCAATCTTAGACATTCTGTATTATTGAAGGGCATCCTCTGACTTGCTTGTCTTGCATTGTCACATGCCAAAACCAATCCCATCCAATGTGTTGACAATCTGCAGACTTTGCAAGAAGCTGGTTTTATTTATGATGTGATGGGGTGCAACTGTGAGTGTTCATGCTGTGCTGGCATAAAGCTTCTTAATGCATTGAGTGCTACCCTTTCTTAGTGTGATGTTATGGAAGAGATGAGTAACAATGAATGTGTGTCATGTCATGAGTAATAATGATTTCTATTTCTGTTTTAATAACGTATCTGAGATTTTAAAGAAAAAGTTCATGGAAGTTCAGTAAACAAAATCAAGCAATAATAAAAGGACTTAATCAGTGTGTTTTATATATAAAATGATACGATCAATAGAGAAGAAAAGCAAGAATAGAAAGGCTAGCTTAAATACAAGGGAAAGATTACAAATGAGAGAAAGATATTCTTTATTCATTAACATGGGTCTGCATATACAATCAGTTCTTTGATACATTACACAATAAAAAACATTTTCATTTAAAGATGTATCAGTGATGCAAATTGTAAACCAGTCTCTTATGCTAGACTTTCAGTGCAATTTTCAGTGTTGTACAATTATTTGTTGCATTCAGTACTTTTTCCACATTAGACACGCACACACTATTCCAGAACACATTAAAAAGCTGGCATAGTACCCTAATCCTGACAACTATGTATTAATATGCATACATTGAAAGAGAACAGGAAAACATTTCTGTGTTTATTTGTAGAGGCAGTTTAAGTAGATGGCTATTATGGGTACAACAGCCTCCTTGCAGTGTGAGGGGAAGAACTAGGTCTGCAAGTCACAAGTACCCAGGGAGTGCACTGCTTCCTCTCCAGTTGAACGAACTTCCATTGAAAGATAATTCAAATTTTAAAAACTGTAGTGAGGGAAAAGCATAATTTATCTTACTGCAGACCCTGGAAACAAAAATTCAATGACCATTTCTGGATATTCTGTTTGTCTCCAGCCTGGGGCAGATCTCTGGACCTTATCATGCAATGAGAGGATAATTTCAGATGAGTGAATGAAAACATGCCTATTTGTTGTTCTAAGGTACGCAGATTCACTGCGATGAGACTTTCACAGCACCGTATCTCCAGGATGGAAAGCAGGCTTGTTCTTCAAATATGGACTTGCCAACTCAGATACTATTGTCCAGGGAAGGATGAAGGATCTATCAAGTGTGGAGAGGAGTTCTGCCATTTTACACTGGCTAGAGATTGAATAACCAGTCTCATTTTGGCGAATGTATGTATTGATGGCCATCCACAGGTTTCAATACAGGAGACGTGACACCTGTGCTTGAGATTGTCAGTGCTCCTAAGGAGTGAACTTAACAGAAGGAAGACTGTTGAATTTACATAGGGAATTTAATGTTATGAACTATTGTGGGGACTGTCTGAATTACAACAATGGGTGTGATCCGAGAGAGTTCCCAATTTAAAAATTGATCCAATTGAAGACAATTATCTATTCAGAGATCTGCTCTAATGGATAGGAAATATGATGCATCAGGGGTTTGAGTTAGGTATGTCCTCAGGGAGAGTAGAATGAGGTTCTAAGGAAGCATTTTATGCTGGGATTTGTACCAAAATTATTTTCCTTAAACATAAAAACATTGTAGAGACTTGACCTTTTTGCTTGGACACTTTTATATACCTGTATTAGCCCTACTAGAGGGTGACTGGGACTCTTAACCAATGGGGATAGGGAACATGGATGTGGGTAAGGTGACTGGAGCTCAAAGCTTGGGATAGATGGATCAGATTAGGGATGCAAAATCCTGTTTAATTGGCTAATGGGGGGAGGTATAGAAATGCTCCTCCTTGCCTGCCAGGAAAACACCCTGGCTAATTTTAAATCCAAGGATTACAAAGGCAGACACCATCTACATGTTTTGTTAGCCTGTGCAGGATAAACTTAAAAGACAAAAACTGGTCTGGTAGCACTTTATAGACTACCTCGGCTACCCCCTGGAGCTTCTGGAGTTGAGTTGAAATTCAATACTATCAATTTAGGACTGAATAAGGATTTTAACTGGTTAATGCACCACAAAAGCAATTTCCTCTCTTGATATTCACATCTCAGCATCAAATGTTGTGAATGAGACACAGCCACTCTGACTTGATTAGCCTCGTTAACATGGGTCTTACACTAGACAAGAAACTTCTTTTGTTGCTCTTATATATACCCCTGCCTCTAATTTCCACTCCAACTCATCTGTGGGTTTTACCAACAAAAGATTATGCCCTAAGAAATCTGTTAGTCTCTAAGGTGCCACAGGATTCCTTGGTGGTTTTGGAGATACAGACTCGCAGGGCTGCCCCTCTGAGATTTCTGAAAAAAAAAATACGGTTTTCAAAAGTTTACTGCTGAATGCTAACTTAGCGGTAACTTTACTATGCAGAAGAAAAATGCTGCTTTTAAACCCTCCTTAATTTAAACAAGCACAGAAAGCTTCCTTACCTGGTCAATTTTTTTAAATTCTCCCTTCATTTTTTGCTAGTTTATGTTTAATCACAGCACTGTACTGTATTTGCTTTTTTTGCCTTTGCTGCTTCATGAATGCATATTTCTGGTTCCGAATGAGGTGTGTTTTTGTGTGAGTGAATAATTCTGCTATTCGTAACTTAGTTGTAGTTTAGGCCTTGAGTTAGTGGGATACTCAAAAACATTCTTATCTTTGTTAGTAGACCCACTGAAGTCAACAAGACTTACTCACAAGCTTAAAGTTAGGCACGTGCTCACATGCTTTTCTGAATAGGGGCCTAAATCCATAAACTAAAAGTGTTGATACACAATAACCTTTTATGTAGATTTGTCAGCTAGAGGGGAAGGAGGAAAGAAATCCCCACATTCCTACTGGGGGTTATATCTATACAAAGGAAACTCTTTAAAAATAATGTCCAGCACTGTTAATCAGTTCAGCTCCCCCAAAGTTAACTTGCTACTAATGTTTAGTAGAATCAGTTGGACCTACTCTAAGCAGCTTAAACTGTTGAAACCAAATATATTTTTACATTGAAAACAGACTGTCACAGTAAATTTTAACTTTAGATGGTTGAGCCAATTACTTCAAAGTGTAAGCTTTGTTACATACAAAACTTTTTAGTCCATTGTAAAATCAACAATTAATGCTGTAAATGCGTACAGTATGGCCAGTATGATACAGATGCTCTGTATTTAAAAAACAAAAACAAAAAAACAAAAACCTTAAATATACCAGATCCAGTGTCTGCCCAACATTGGCATTTATGCTACCTGGCACTGAGCTGAGTTCCTTGACAGACTCTACACCAGTGTTGCTATGGTCTGGGTATTGTGGATGCTTTCTCGGCTTCTGTAGTTCTTTTGGTGCTCTCTCTCTCTGTAGCTGTTCTCAGGGCTGTACTGAGTCCTGGTCATCTGTCTCCGAAAGGCCTGTACTGTTCGAACGGCGAGTGCACAGACCACAGAGCTTGCAAAGTACAGACAAGCAGCAATAATGCCAAATAGGCTGACAGCTGCATCACCCCCCTGAACCTCGCAGTTCATCCAGGTGTATCCACGGCGTGCATACAGTCTTTCCCTCTTCTTGCATGTGTCTGTGGAGTTCACCTGGATGATAAAGTGTAAGTAAAGGCCAACAGCCACAATATATCCCATACAAGCCAGTGCATCAAAGACGCATTCAGCCACGAGCATCCTCACAGAGACGCGATGAATGGGTTTTGCCCCAACGATGAGGAACAGGAGAGTAAGTGTTGTTAATGTCAGACTGAAGGCCACTCCCCCATACACACATGGGGCTCTCATCTGGCTATACTGCATGTCCAGGTCTCTCACCTCCTGGAACTCAGATCCTTCAAATGGGCTGTAAAATGAATTAATGTTGAAAGACCCCATTCCCAAGCCGCCCATAGAACTGTAGCCTGCGATCGCTGCATGGGAGGCTCCAACACAGATCAGCACTAGAATGTTGACAGTAATTTCAACAAACTTCAAAACGCCTGCAGGAAGAAAATGATGAATATTAGCTTAGAATGTGTTTTGTACAAATGGGAAGGGGGCGGGGAACCTAGCACACTCTAAACTAAAGAGAAAACTTACTGAGCTTTGCTTCCCAGGGGAGGCCACAGAAAAACTGTCCTTTTGTAAATGAAGCATTCACTTTAATTAGTGTATTTCAGAGCCTGAACATAATGACTTTGTCAGTAATTTGACAGTGCACTTGATAAGTGGATCATGCAAGAGAAATCCATAAAGATGCTTACAGTGGTGCTTGTACTGCGAAAAAGGAGATCGATCAGTTGAGGCACACAGGTTGAACAAGTGCCTCCTTAAGTATGATTTTGAAACCTTGTTTGATGTAGATTGTGCCTAGTAGCTGGAGTACCAAACAGAACCACATAGAATGGGAGCTATCTGAACAAAACTGAGGACAAGAATAAAAAAAAAGGGCAAAAAAACCCTTCCAGGGTCCTAGTGATTTTTTTTTTATATATAAGGTCACTTATTAGATCCCTAAACATTAATTTAGCAGCATTACTTTGATTTAAAAAAATATTGGCCTAGTATCTGCTGGATCCAATCTACATCAAACAAGGTTTCAAAATCATATTTAAGGAGGCACTTGACTCGATCAACCTGTGTGCCTCAACTGATCTCCTTTTCAAGGGAAGTAACATTTATGATTCTTGACTTGACTTAGCCAACTCCCACTTTCAAAAGCCAAACCCTATGAAAAGTTCTGACTCTCTTCCTCCTCTTGGCATGGATTTTAAGTAAATGAACAGTGTTTGGATAAGTGACTCCTGTTTCTTGTCGATCACAAAGTAACAAAAGCGAAGCTGAAGTTCTTCAGTTTCAAACCATGCACCATTGCAACGAAGAGATGCCATTTAGCATTTATCTTCCAACCCACCACCAAGATGGACCTTTATGCATACTAGTAGTGGGACGTACATCTGTATTTGAACAATCAGCCAGATCAATGTTTTAAAGATCAGAACTTACACAATCACTACAACCTTGTTATAGTAAGTGTGTAATTGTTATCCATGTAATATCACTTCCTGGAGCATAATTGCATGTTCAAGTGTCTGCAATCTAACTGAAAGCTAACATCTCAAAAGGGTATGTTAACCACTCCCCTACATAAGATAAATCAGAAATATAATATGTAGCTCTTCATCATTGGTGTGCCTGGGCACATCCAAATGTGGGGCAGACTGGCTGGCTGGAGGCTGCTGGAGGAGAAGGGGTGTGACAGGGCAAGCCCGCCCCCACAAAAGACGCCAGCGGCTGCGGCGTCAGAAGCTGCGCAGCCCAGCGCGCCTCAGCGCTGCTGCACATGCTCCAGCGACCCCGGGCACTTCAAAAGCCAGGGCCTCATACCATGAAGCCGGTGGAGGACGCAGGATACCTTCAGGTGAGGGCGGCCCCTCTCCACCGCCCATGTGCCCCCTGCAGCCAGCCACCTCCTCCTGTGCACATTCCCGCAACTCCCGCTCCCCACGTGTGGGCTCCCCGCCTTTGTACCCCTACTGCCGGCAGCTGTCTCCGGTGCGGCTCTGGCGACAGCAGACGAGCCGCTCACGGGGAGGGGCGCGGCCGGGCTCCCTGCCTCGCCAGCGTCTCTCGCCTTCCTGCGCTCCAGTGGCCGATCATGTGCTCCGACTCCAAGAGCTGCCCCCCTTGGTGCTGAGGCCCCTGAGTCTCGCCACTGGCCCGGCTGTGCCACACCAGAAGGAGTGCCTGGCTTGGCAGGGCTTCAGTGGTAACTCCTTACATGCTGGGCTCGACCCCAAGCTGGGCTGCTGGCTGCCGAGCTCCAGAGCTGCCCACGTGGTGGGGGCCCGCTTTTCAGAGCCCACCCAGGGAAAAAATACCGGCTGGGAGGGACAGGGCAGGGGAGATGGGCCAGTGGAGCTAGCAGGCGGGGGCAGGGCAGTGTGGCTGGCTGGAAGAGATGGGGGGGTGCTGGGGACAGTGGAGCTGGCAAGGGGAGATTGGGAGGAGGAGAACTGGGTGGCAGGGAGCAGGGGGTCTGCAGGAGTCTGTTTTGGGACCAGTTCTGTTCAATATCTT